GCTGGTTTTAGGTGGTAAACCAGCCTGGTTTTAAAATGTTTTGGCCATTTTCAGGCTGGTTTTCACCCTGGTGAAGCTGGTTTTAGCTGTTCATCTCCCAGCCTGACCAGCTAAGACCAGGTTCTAAATTGTAAAATGAAATGGTGATGGAAATTATGTTAATTATGTTACATAATTAGTAATTTGTAAAGAATAATTAACACATCAATGCAAACATCATAACAAACATTCATCTTTGGTCAAGAATAATTCGTCTCAATGCAAAAAAATGTTCAATGCAAAAAAAAAAATGTCTTGTAAAATAAATTTGGCCTACAAATAATTACTTTATTTGCCTTGTAACATAGTTTAACTACTGTGCCTTCCACAATGTGTGAATATAACAAAAAGCTGTTTTAAAACGTTAACATCGCACCTGTTTGACTGAAATTATTAAAATCAGTGTTACTTCCTAACTAGCTGGACGTTTGAAAATAATTCATTTCAAAGCAGTAAGTCTGCACCTTTAACAAAAAAAAAATATCAAGTACATGTCTGTAAATATGTTTATCATTAGTTTTATTTATTCTCAGTTAATTATTGTCAGAATCTGTTAGTTTATGATGTTACAGTTTAAGATTTTACGTTTATGTCTGTTCGTGGCAGACGCTCCCTTACCTGGCGTCGAATTGGCCTTCGTGTTTTTTACAGTGGTTCTGCCCTGTGGATGAAAATGAAAAATCATCAAGCAAAAAGCTCTTCACACACTCTCCATACACACTCCACGCGTGAGGAGGAACCACCCTTCACATCACAGGAGAATAGACTCACATCAAAGCCAGTCAGCAAACAATGTGTCCACGTTGTTTTCATTTAGGCCTATTATTCCTCTCCTCTTGTTTCACGCTATCCATTGTGCTCGTAATGAGCTGTGAGCACTGATCTATAGCAGTGTTTGTGAACTGGTGGGTCGCGAACCAAAAGTGGATGGTAGAGTGTTTATGCGATGTAAAACTAGAAAGATGTGTGTGAAATCTGTTGACGCTTCTCTTCTGTCAGACGCGGTTTGTTGATGTCCTTGACAAGCACCTTCTAAATGAGGTAGTGCTGTATCCGAAATCACCAAGGCTTATGATTAATGTACTATTCCCGACATTAGTTCACTATATAGTCAACTGAAATAAGTGCATGGAAAAGAGTGAGTGAATTCGAGCTCTGAGTGCACTAGAAGGGTTTGGAAGTTTTGTTTTTTTTTGTTCATTCCTAATTGTTAAAAATAAATATATTCTCTGTTACTTATCAGCTATTACTAACGAATTTGTTTTTCTTTCTGTCATTGAAGGTTACTTACATTTAATAATGATTTGCTTAAAAACTTACAAAGATTCTGCTGAGGATTCCATCTTGTGGTCAGAAGCGGAAATTCAATCGGTGCGCTAAAAAACAACTCATTTAGGTGCATCGTGGGATTGATAGTGTTCTCAATGGTCAGAGTTTTCTAAATTCAAACACTATTATCAGTGGTTGTTCCCTCAAAAAGTGCACTATTAAAGGATATAAATTAGGGTCCATTTTTAGACACAGGAAGTTAATTTTTCAACACGTTAAGTGTGGAATGTGGTAGAGGTAAATGCATACAGTTCTCTACACGGTGGTTAGACAGTGTATTTATCTCACTATTATATTATTATACTAACATTTTTGAATGTTCCTCAGGTAAGGGCAATATTACCCTAAACCTAACCTCATATTGCACTACTTATAGGCTACTACATCAAAATTTACACAGGTAGCACAATTCAATTCATCAGCAAAATGTGCTATACTTTCTTTCTTAACGGGAACAAAGAACTTACACATTTATATGTCAAATCTGACAGGTAGGAAAAACAGTCAAAACAGTCTAAAGGTTAAGATAACATTACTGATCAAACATTTCACTGAGCTCATTTCAGTGCCCTGAAATCACATTGTTGCTAGATCAGATATGGTTGTGGCTGGAAGTTATTTTGATTATTTTTTAAATTTCCCATTAATTGTATTTTATTAACAGCTACCCTCACCCCAACCGTCACAGTAATGTAGTTGTACAGAGTATTATTTATGTTATCTATTAAATGACCCAATACATTTTTTGATGTCTACCCCTAGGCTATACTCTAACCCTAAACCCAACCATCACAGTACTGTAAAAATATGAAGTATTGTTATAGTATCATAAACATATTCTATATTGATGTGCATATATTGCTCAGGATACAGTATATGCTATTTAGACTTTATCCTGAAATCATGATAGAGATATTTTGTATGGTCCATTAAACAATTGGAAACAATTACAGAGCATGAGTGTCAGTCAGGTTGCCATATACTGTGTGTAAAACGTTGCGTAGACATGAAAATCATATGTTTAGGCATGGATGTAAGATTCTGACCGTATGATAACCTTGGATAAAATATCACGGTTTCATAGTATCCCGGTATTGAGATTACTGCTCTAAAACATATTCTTTTTAAATTTGGGTAAAAAACTAAAACTTTTTTGCCCTTTAAAAACAATACATTTTATTTTTTGAAAGATTTATAATATTTTGAAGCAGTAAACATGCTAAATAACTCAAATGAACCGTTGACTTCTGCTGTCTTCATTAGTTTAAAAACTCAGAATTCTTTACAAATTAAAACTGCGTCTTTGGATATCTTTTTCTGTTGAAGGTACTGTTGTCCTAAAAAACAAACAAAAAAAAAGTAAATAAAAAATCTTACACATACCTTATTAAACGGTATTAGAGAAAATTTTGGCGGTTTTAAAACCATGATTTTTCCAAACGGCGATATATCTTGAAAACGGTTATGCCTATTCATGTTCCTTTTAGATAACAAATAAAAGTAAGCTAACAAACAAGACTTTAGGAATTTGTTATGAAATAAAATGCCTATGACATAAGGAAAATATACTTGTATGATATAAAATGCAAAAGAAACAGTTTGGGGCTGCTATGTAATAATGTGTGTTTATAGGGTATATGCTGAGCTTTTCCCATACTGATAAACTTCCGGTGACCTGTAATTGTGAGTTTTTTTTCCATTTTATACAGTTCCTTTTACAGCATTGATGTTGTAATGTAATTAAAATACATTCGGTTAAATAAACTTTGGCATTAATTTAGTTGCTTAAGCGTAAAACAATACAAAAAGGTTAGCTCAGAAACTCCATTGAATATACTGGGGTAAAATAAATGCTCATATTATAAAGACATGGCGTGGGAAAATGTAATTTAATGCAGTGCTTCTTGTACAATCTGAGACCCACTTTATATCGGATATCACTCAGCTAGTGGAGATCACTGATTTTTAAAGAAAACAGCCCTTAAACGCGCCGGTTTTTGCATTCGCGTACAGTTCGCCGGAAGCGCTTAATCCAGGTTATTGGCAAATTAAAAGTCCTAATAGCATGCTTCGGCATATACCCTATTCATCAGGATTTTATATATTCTTTCAATGTTAAGTGTGGTGGTATATATATATATATATATATATATATATATATATATATATATATATATATATATATATATAAGCAATTCCATGCAAATGTCACCCTGCCATGAAAAAAATTAAGTTTTAACCAAAATATGGAAATCATGTCTGGGTTTTTTGGGTAAGCAAGTATTTTACAGTACTTTAAAAATACTCAAAAATGCATCTGTCAATGTTTTCAAACTATTTTATTTGATTTACCAAAATCACACTAGTGGCAATTTTGCATGTCACATCCGTAACGACACTAAAACATATTTACAGATTGATATTTTTCTGGTCCTTTAACTCTGTGGTCAGTTGTTCTGGAAAATATAAACAAAAGTTTCAATATAATATTAAAGTATACTTTCTATGTGAATTTATGTTTTGAGTTTTTACTGTAAATGTCACATCCATAACGCTGGAATAGCTCATTATCTATATTGCATATTTACGGGAAAAGTAGGTCACAGCTTGACAACGGGATAATGTATGTCCCATGGCCAATCCAGTGAGTACCACTAATCTATAGTATAGATCAGTGGCCGAGAGTGTGGATGTTACAAATAACAAAAATAGGTCACCATTTTAAAACTATTTCAGATTACAGATTGAGTCAATTGTAAACACATCAACTCAAAAGCAAATGACGCAAACTGCTTGCTTTTCATCATGTCTAAATCAGGGCTAAAAGTGTTGGGAGTTGTTTTAAGCTCGATGACCATGATGCGCATTGATGGAAGCTTGGATGATTGACACATGAAAAGCACCACGTTGTCATGACAATAGAGGAGGCCCCTCCTCCTGGAGTACATAACCTCTGCCTTTGATCAGGCCTGCAGTCACGCTCCGGCTCTGCTGCACTGAGGTAAGGATTTCTAGATATATCATAAAGATAGCCACAATATTTTAACTAATGCATGGAAAATGTTAATAAATAATTATCACAAATAAAAATACATATTTAATACTTAATGTTTAGCTTGCATACACAAAAATAGTCATATAATAAAATGCAACTCTTAAATAATATACACATTTTTTTTCTAAATGTAAAACAACATACCAAGTGTTTTAGAAAATGTTAATTGATAAAGAAAAACAATTCAAGTATGTTTCCATGTATATAAATGCTTTTTAGAATATTATTATATATTAATGTTTACAAATACAATATTAATATTCATCTAAAAACCAAAGGCATTAAAAATAAATTATAAAAAGTAGTTTTCAGCGTAATTTTGATTAATATATTTATATATTTTCTCTCTGTTTATATTATTCAACATGTTAATTATGAGTCTGTTACTTTGCATGTTAATAAATGTAAATTAATTATAATTTTTAACTCTCGAAATGGACTTTATATTTAAAATATTGTTAATTATTTGATAATTGGAATTAATATTAGAATAAGTAAAATGTTTATCATAGTTATATTTATGGTATTTATATACATGTGTTAGGATGTTATATTGCTCCTGGTGTTATATTAGATTTTTTTTTCTTATAAAAAGTTAAAGTAAACGTATGTTATCTGGAAATAAACAGATAATGAATGTGTCTGTACATTTAATAAACCCATTATGCATTGACATAGTTATCCACAACAGGCTTACATTCCAAACCTTGTGTTTTTGAGTCCAGATTCTCTTTTGTTTATTCAGTTTGCACCATTCTCAGAACCAATAATATGCCTTCCAGTAAATATGACAGTGCCTTTGTCAAGCATATGAGCGCGTGTGTATGTGTGTGTGCTGATATCTGATACCTGAACAGACTGGAGCATGTCCACCGACTGTGTGAGGTCACTCTCAGACAAAGCCGAACACACACTCACCATGCACGAACACCTCTGTGAGTACCGCAGTTTCCCAGTGCCTTTCTGCATGCATTTCTGTGCATTTTAAAAGAGATGATCAGAATGTAAAAGCTCAGAATGTGGATGAAACAGGGTGTAACAGAGACTTAACAGATAGCGACAGTGTGCTGGATGCATTGTAAACCTGTTATCCTCCTGCAGATGAAATGGACAACCAGAAACATGTCGCCGAGGAACATCAGCAGGGTAAACTGGGACAGAAAAAACCACGGAGAAAAGACACTCCGGTCCTCAACAGCCCTCCGCTTTTACCAGGCAAGATTTTGTATTTGGGGGGGGGGGGGGGGGGGACGTTCCACAAACGTCTCTTTGTCTGAGTTTTCTTGTCTTTCTCAGGCGTGAGATTGATGAAGACTGAAGCTCGAATGATTCATCAGGAGGATGAGGAGAAGGAGATGAAGAAGTAGATTTGTTTGATTGTTAGTATTTGTTGTTATTTTCCGAGCCTTCATTAAATGTAGGTTTTGCAGATCTGTTTTGTGTACGTGTGTGTGTATATGTGTGTGATTATTTTAGTGTTTTGCTTTAGAAACACAATGCGGATTGAAGCAGATAGCATTTTATTTACAAGCATGTTGTATACAATAGAAATATTGTAGCATAAATGCAGGAATAGTTCATATTGGGTCATCGTTTATATATAATTTAAACAGAATACATAGTGATCATGGTTGTTCATATTCACTCACAGAACTATTATGGTAATTCTGAAAGCAGGGTTTGTGTAGTATGTACTGGTGTATTAGTATGCGATTATTTCTGTACAGAAGGTTAGCTGGTACATTTCAGGAAACTACTTTCTATAACTTGTCAACATAGGTTTTTTGCAACAATATAAAAATAAAATGAGATTTTCCACACAAAAGCAAAATTAGCTCCCCAAATACTCAATATGGTAAAAAGTGCAAAAACAGCAACAATTAATATATGTTCATTTCATTACAAATATAACAAACTATGCATATATACAGAGCTCAGCATAACTGAGTACAGGCCATTTTGAAAATAAATATTTTTATCTATTTCTTAGTGAAAATAGGTGATGTATTTCGGTCCATTTAAACAAAACCGATTCATTAAACAGATATTTTTATTAAAATAATATTTTAGTCACCAAACATGGTTAGAAATTAAAAGATAATCCAATTAAATTCAAGCAAAATATTGCTAAAACCAACAAAACTTCACCTAAATTGTTCAAAATTTTTGCCTCTCTTGATTTTCCCTTATTTAATATTTTTTATTACGTATAAAGTTGGGTTTACTAGTTTTTGGAGATTCCTCATAAGTACTTTTGTTAGATAAACTCCAGATTTAGCTTCAGTACTGACTAATCTAATGTACAGTATATACAGTTTTTATGCTGAGCACTATATATATATTTATACACACACACTCGAATAGCAGTGCGATATGGCTGTATATCGGTATTGGTGGGAGGCGTGCCTTAGTGCTCCCCACCAGTGCCGATTTACAGCCATATCGCACTGCTAAGAGTGTGATGTGGCATTTATACAACAGTTCGACGGCATAATCATGTGTATAAAAAAGAAAATCAAACAGGGAGAGTCTCAAAAACCCTTTTGTACCAGGGGCTACTTTCTTGCACCATCACCATTTTGACCGTCAGAACAGCAGAAACCATTGCAACTTCATAAGCGTCACTTTAGAACTAGTATTTGAATGATTCTCTAGCATAATGTCGCAAGTGTTGACAAAACAAGATTATCAAGGACTTATTATGCGGTGTCTGTCGCCATCTTGTGGCAGATCGTTAACCATCACTTTCTTTGGTCTGCTCAGATGTACTGAATCTCAGAAATTATAAATATTTAGACACTTTCCTTATAAATAAACAGCTAGTTGCAATCTAAACAACTACATTTTCACCTAAAAAGCCTCAAAAGTACATTATGTCATCAAACAGCAGTATTAGTCAAACTGTAGAGTTTCATCTGCTTGTTGTATGTATAAAACACAAGGGTGAAGAGGCTGCACAGTGCTGTTATTTGCAGAATATCCTGGTAATATATAGTACATAACCCAATATTAAAGCAATGAACTTCAAAATTACAAATAGGCCTGATAAATGACACATAATAAGATAATTTAAATAAACAAAAACTGTGCCTAATTATTATAAAATCAATGTGGGAAAAAAACTTGTATTTGTCTTAAAATTGACTATATTGTCATTATGCAGTTTATTATTCTACAGTAGGCCTATATGAATGTGCATGCTTGTTTGTGTGTGTGTCTTGTATTCTTAACATTGTTGGGACCGTATGTCCCCACAAGTATAGCAATCCCAACAATTTTTGACCTTGTGGAGACTTATCTTTTTTTTGCCTATGAGGAAAAAGGCTCATAAATCCCACAGAATGAAGTAGGCTAATTTGAAAACGTAAAAAGGCATAATATTTCCTCTAAGGCGAGTGTTTGTTTTGAAAACAACATCAGGGTAGAATTGAGGGAAGTGGACAGTGTACAGTAGCCTGAAAAAAGTCATTAAATCAAGGATATGTTTCATAAAAGATGAAACCCCCAACGTGTGTATGTGTGTTCACCTCCCTCGTCTCAGAGAGATGGTCTGCAGGTGTCGGGCTTTGACTCGCGGGTCAGCGGCTCTGCTGCTCTCCTCTTTCTGCGGTCTGGACGGTAAATATGAGTTCGCGCAGTAACTGGGTTTCTTACTGTATCTCACCAGATGGTATTTGCGGCGAGTCGAAACTGCAAAAAACAGAGCACAATCTTAACAAACGAGCTAACTATCTAACACTGTACACATTCAAAGGTCAGACATACCGAAAGAAACACTCAAACTCGTCATCTGAGCCCTTTGAGTAAAGATTTATTGTCACAAAAGTGCAAATAAGGAGCGTCGAAACAAGCATGATCACATGACCACACCTGCCCTATGATTTTCACCTCTTTTTTTAAAATAAAAAAGTCATGAATGCATCAATAAACATTTATGTTGAAAAAAATCAAACAATTTTACGATAAACTAACTGACAGATCGAAATTAAATAAGTAAAATGGTGCAGTTCACAAAATGGCCGCCAGATAGCGGTACAGAACAGTGTGATTTACGCTGCTCGTCGTTTTATTAAAGGGATATTGTTCACCTCAAAATAAAAATGTACCTATTTACTTACTGGTTTTAAAAAGTTATGAGTATTTTTTCTGTTGAACATGAAATAATTTATTCAGAAAAATGTCAGAAACCTGTAACCTTTTAACCAATTTAACCAATAAGCAAGATAATCAGGCGCTTAAGGCCTTAAGAAATCTGCGGTCCCTCAAATAAATACTTAGAAGTATAAATTATACCTATAACCTATATATAACATCATTTCTATCATATTTTGTATGACAAGTGTCTAAAAAACTTAAGTTTAATGTTACCTCTTTCAATGTTACATCTGCGCAAATGTGTCCCATCAGTCAAGCTAGGTAAAGATTTAGTTTTAAAAACGAAATAGATATATAATTTTTAGTTGTGAATTCATTTTAAGAAAAGAAAAAATAATTTACAAAGTTTTACAAGATGCTTTATATGCTGTTGTTAATATTTTGCATTAAAATAAAATGGAGAAAAGGAGGAATTGAGTGATAGAAGGGAAAAAAAGCAAAACATCAATTAAAAATAAATTAAAGTACAAAAGGTGCATTTTAGAACTTTTGGGCCCCATGGCTGGAATTGCTTTGGGCCCCCAAATCACTAAATCCGCCCCCGCCTTTGACTTTCATAGTAGTAAAAACAAACACAATTGAAGTAAATGGTTACAGGTTTGTGGCAAGTGAATGAGAAGTAAATGATGGACAGAATTGTCATTTTGGCAGAACTATCCCTTTAAACTAAAACAATAAGCATTTGAGTGCCGTAGTTAAACTGTACATGAGGATTTCAAATCAAATAAATAAAAAAAAATAGCTTAATTTTGACATAGAGGTTTCTTGGCGAACACACATATGTACTCAACATTTACTACAAAGCAGAACTAAACAGTCATTAAGGCAAAGTCTCACCGTGCCATATTTATCCTATTTAAACATACAGCATTTCACTTAAAAACAGAAAATAAAAGACACACTCTGAGCCTAAATGTGTTAAACATGAGGGTAAAAATTACTTGAATAGCAAAATACAGTTATAGGCCTAATAAAGAAAGTAAAATTGACAATGTACTCGATTTACCCAGAGGTTTCTTAATCTGTATTTCTGACACAATATCTGAACATTCTTAAAATAGGATTAAGTGAATCAGAAATGTTTTATCTTCAGAGAAAATATTTTTTAAATACAAAGCAATGTATTTTTTTGGACAAATTATAAAAAGTTTCTGCACAAAACACCAAATTTGGTATTTAATATTCAATTAACTGAACGTTTCCACACAAAACAATAACAAGTATGCAAAAATGATTAAACAAACTGAATATTTATAAATAAAACAATAACAAGTGGAAGTAAAATATTGGATTATCTGAATATTTATGCATGAAAAACATACAAAGGGGCAAGCAGAACATTTTTAATTATCCATCTGTTTTGTTTTCATAATTATATTAATTCATTTTCCTTTGGCTTAGTTCCTTATTTATCAGGGGTTGCCACAGAAGAATGAACCGACAACTATTCCAGCATGTTTTATGCAGCTGAAGCCATTCTAGCCGCAACCCAGCCTTTAGACTGTGGGGAAACCAGAGCACCCAGAGGAAACCCACATGAACACGAGGAGAACATGCGAACTCCACATAGAAACGCCAACTGGCCCAGCCGGGATTCGAACCAGCAAACTTCTTGCTGAATTTACCAAAAAAAAAAAGTAATTTAACTATATATTCATATTGATATGTATATTTTATGATATATTATAGATATAGATATTTATTTATATATGTTTAGATATTTGTCTGTAAATACTGATTAAGAAAATTCACATTTTGCATTTTGCTGCTGGAAATGAACAAAACAAGAACAGAATAAAATTGTGACATTCATGACATTTTACGATGGCACAGGATCAACCAATCAAATTGAGCGTAGCAAAATTCATCCACAAAACCGAGGAGAGCAACATGCAAACATTCACATCAGACTCGAATCTGAAATCACTTTAAGATGAAGAAAAGACAAGACAAACACTGAAAAAAAGAAACCCAAAACAAAGATATGTGTCAAGAGGACAACGAAACAGATTCACAGCGATCATCAACAATAGATTTAAGGCAACAATGCATTTTTCTCTCCAACTAATAACTCAAGAAATATGCATGAATGATGGCTTGCGATGCGCAAAAGGACATACAGACATTAAAATCATCTTTGGTTGAGGCAACAGACATTTACACAGGATTTTGCTGCCTATTTATAACAGCCTATTTACATGTTTTTTTTTTTTTAGTTTGTTTTACTTTTATCTTTTGTATTTTACAGTATGAAATTGATTTACAGAAAGATGAACATCACAGACAGAAGACAGATATAAAAACCTCACGAGGACTAAAGTTTAATGCAAAAAATGCACTTGATTCTACGTCCACGAGAACTAAAAACATGAGAAATTCCCTTTAATTCTCTCACAGATCTGAGCATGAATATACACTTTCTAGAGTTACACTGGGTTGTTCATTATTCATACCAAATTACCCTATAAACACTTCATAAATAATATAAACGTTTATATACATTACATTACAAAAATAGAAGAAAATACAAGCTAATGTCAAAATAATTACATTTACTGTACTATATTTCAATGGCTTGGAGAGCTGAGCAAAAGAGTGAGATTTGTGCATTGATTCATGTTCAACTGTTTATATATATATATATATATATATATATATATATATATATAGCAATGGAAAATTCTCAGTTTCTCAGGATTTATAATTAATTTGAGCAAAATGTAGTTTTGTTTCAATCCATAAACTACAGATGACATTTCTTCCCAATTTAAAATAAAAAGTTTTTTTGTTGTTGTTGTTTGCATTAAATAAAAAGGTGGCATGTTTTCAGGCATGTTTCTATTCATTTTTAGATGACACGATAATGATGTTTTTAGAAAATAAATGAAATAAGATAAAAATGAAATAAAACAAACAACAAAAAAATAACAAAAAAATACATTTAAAATAGATCAAAACAAATCAGAATAAAATATAATAAAATAAACAACAACAAAATAAACTAAAATTAAATTAAATACAATTAAAATAGAAAAAAAACTAATCAAAATAAAATAAAATAACAAGAAACTAAATAGGATAAAAATAAATTAAATCAAAATAAAAAAATAAACTAATCATAACAAAATAAAAAGCAACAAAAAAGAAAATGAAAAAAAAAGAAAATTAAACAAAATTAAAATAAAACAAAACCAATCAAAATAAAAACATAACAAAACTAAATAAAATAAAATGGACAAAAAAATACATATATATATATATAATATATAATATATATATATATATATATATATATATATATATATATATATTATATATATATATATATAAAATAAATATAAACAAATAAAATAAAAATAAATAAAATCAAATCTAAATAAAACAAAAACAAATCACATTAAAATAAAATAAACAACAAAAATGTATTAAAATAAATAAAATAAACAACAACAAAAAACTAAATAAAATAATATTAAAATAAAAAAAATAAAATAAAATAAAACAAATCAAATTAAAAATATAATAAACAACAAAAAACTAAATAGAATAAAACCAAATCTAAATAAAACAAAATAGCAACAAAAAACTAACTAAACCAAAACAAATCAAAATAAAATAAAATAAATAAAAACCAAAAACAAAATAAAATAGTCAAAAAAAAAAAAACTATATAAAATAATCAAATAAAATAAACAATAACAAAAAACTAAATAAAAAAATAAAAATAAAATAAAACAAAATAAAAAAATATAAAACCTTAAAAAACAAAATAATAAAATAAAATAAAATAACATTTAATTTAATTTCACATCAAACCATATAAAAACATTTGGTTCCCTTCTTGGTACAAATTATGACAAATAGCCTAAATGACAAAATTTTTTTTAGTTTGAAGAAATGTTCTCAGACCTTTATAGAAGACAATTATTATTATTTTACTTAAACCCATACGTAATAAATCCTTTAAATCCAGAGAAAATGAGAAGTGGTCTATTGTCTATTTTTTAATAGCTATACATATTTACAACATATTTATAAGTTAAAAAACATTGTATTCTAAAATAACCTTTGCATTCTAATATCTTAAAATGTTTAATTTCCAAGAAAAAGGCTCCATACTTTTGTTCTTTCTCCCTTCTTTGTAATCATTTCACAATATGCAGCAGAAATCGATGTTATGCGAATCACAAGGCAACATTATTTGTGACAGATCTAGAGTCCTATATATCTGTGTGGTTAATCAGCCACAACACGCTTACAAAAACTTTCTAAAAAAGAGAAATTGGCAGAGGATATTTGCAAAGACTTACGGGCTGCAAATCTAATGATTAAATCCTATTTAACACAGTTTGATATCAAGAAGCTCCTGCAAAGTATGTACAAACAACACATGATGGAAACTGTACAACATCTCATACACACACACACAACAATAAAACAGGACGACAGCACCATCAAGTCTATATAACTAACATAAAAAAATGATTACACTTTCCCTGAAGCCTTTGAATAATGCAACAAAATGTAAATTGATG